AAAAAAAAAGAAAAAGGGATACAAATCACCACATGCACCAGGAAGCCTCACACCGATCCCAAAGTGCTGGCTATGGCGTCTGAGAAAAAAGAAAAACAGCCCAAAAAAAGGAAAAAATCAATGATTTTTGCTGCAAAGAGCGAGGCCGGCGAGCATCACAGACCCGCCCCGAGAAATACAGAATACAAGACGATCCAGTGCATGTGTTGGTCCATTTTGTTTTAGGGGAGGAAAGGAAGGGGGGGGGGCTTCTCTACTGGTCCCAGTGCAACAGGCAGAAAATTAGTGCAGACCGAGCTGGTGATGGCTTCACCAAGCAGCCATTAAGTACAGTCACATCCAGAACAAAGAGAGGAGGGAGCAGCCGCTGACAGGAACCATAACCACAGACAGAATACACAAGCAAAGAAGCCATCTGAGAAACGACGCAGCGTTAAAAATCACCCACATTGAAGAAGAACAGGAAGCAGGAAAACACACACACACACACACGCAAGCGAAAAGGGGAGCGAGCGTAAAACAAAATGGGCAGAGAGGGTTTTTTATACCGTACAACCACGAAGGGATGACGGCTGTAGACGCTCTGACAATCCTGGGTTTGATTGTTGTTAGTGATGTCAGGTCGTATTGGAACCGTGGGAATCTTTACCATACATCCTTAATGGCTTCAACGCGGCATTTGTCAACATGTAGTTTTTTTTTTGTTTTTTTTTTTTTTTTTTAGGAGTCTCGTTCTTGTAAAAGTTCTCATCCGATGAGCACTAACTGCAGCGACAGACTCCAGAAACACAGGCCATTTACATTCAACTCACTGATCAACTCACAATCAATGAGCCATAATCTGAAAATGCTCGTTGGAAAGCGCACTTCTCTCGACCGTTTACATGGATTTGTTTATACTCGGGCCTTCGCTGTCAGTTAGACTGTGACGGGATGGACTCCATACAGCACAGTGGGATGGAAAGGCTGATGTCTGTCAACCAGGCCCCATTTTCCAGAATACTGTACAGGAGATCAGAACGGCTTCACTGATGTTATAATAAGTAGTTAACCACTCTAAACTAAAATGAAATGCAATATGTAATACTGATCAGATATTTGATGGTTATTGTATTTGATGAAGGGAAAATGTACTATAACAGTGTCTGACATCAGTGTTCTGGTAGTATTTCTGCCATTTTGGAAGGAACGTCTTCCACTATAAAACTTACAGTCACTTAAGTCAGGTAGTTCATGATCATTAGGGGAACAAAAGTTTTTGGTAAGAGTACCATGACTTTCTGGAAAATGGGGCATAGGTACTACTGTTATCTGAATGAATAAGCGATTATATTTTATACTGTTTGATTTCTATGTATTCCAATCATGTGGCGTCTCCTGAATAGAACCATCTGAAGGGAGAGTTGAGTAATATATCAGAAAATGTGTTTATTCAAAACTACGATAGGCAACCCTTAGTTGCTCCTCGGCCAAGTTTCCTGCATATCTCTGCCACTTTGGTTAATTTAAGGAATGCATGCATTCATATGAACATCATACAGTTGTTGTTTTTTTAAGAAAAGAAAAGAAAAGCGACGACAAATAAATCTATATAAACCTGCCAACATGCCAGAAATAACATTGAATGTTTGTCTCAAAAATCAAGTGTTGAAAAAAAGAAGACTTGCAAATATAAACCCCAAAACATACAGATACGACTGATCCGAAAACACTCAAAAACAACGATGTACACACAAAATCTGCCACAAGCACACTTAAAAAAAGAAAAGAAAATAAGCTTTTTATATTTTTGTATATATACACAAACACCCGATTAGCATCCCCGTTCCTTTAGCCCTCGATTTTTTCCAGCTTGTAATTTACATGGAGCAAGACAAGAGAGTTATGGAGTCGGTTAATACAGTAGTTTATATGAGGGGGAGCGACAGATCAGCATCAGGGAGCAAGAGAGAGGGGGGGGTGGGGGGGTTACTGATGATGGGAGGGGATGAGGAGGGACGTTTGGGGTTGTGTTGCCATATTAAAATACGTCCAACGGGAAAATAAATGTGAGGTGAGAGGAGGAAGAGTCCAACATGGACAAAACTGAAACAGTATGAGTACACAGACCCTACCACCCCCAACCACAGAAATCAAAAGTTAAACTTAGCTCTCTTGCAGTAGAAATGGAAAGATAAGCAGTTAAAATGTTCATTTCTCGTTTTCTCTTTTTTTTTGTTGGTTTCTTGAAGATGCATTTTTTCTTTTTGTTTTAGCATGTCGTTTGGAGTCTTCTTGTTCCAAGCCTCTGCGTGGCTTTGTCACTCTTTAGGGCTACGGAAAAGAGAAAGAAAGAAGTGCACTTAGGCTCGATCACCGTTTCTAAACCTGCAGAAATCTACAGACAAATGTGTTTCTGTATCTGTCCAAGTGTCATGAGGGCTAGTTAGTGTCCTGAATTCACCTTTGCTTTAAAGGTCCTCTATTATACTCTTGTTCAACAGTATACTATAGGGCTCAGATATATATACAAGACATGTCTCTGAAGTGTTTGGCTGAAATACCAAACAGATCATTGCAGCATGCCATAAACCCCTTCGTTTTCAGCTGTGTTTCAAAAGTGCTGATTCTCTGTCTGTAGCTTTAATCAAATCAAATTACACTTCTTTACATACATTTAAGTTAAAATAACTGAGAGACCAGAGTTCCCGTTAGCCGGTAATTACCGGACTATGACCGGTAAAATATGCTGAAGACCGGCAAATTTAAATCTCTCCGGTCAAAATAATTTCCCCTTAACAAAATACTGCATCAGTTGCGCCACTTATGTGACAGACAGAAGAGTATGTGACAGACAAGAAGATTCAATTCTAATGTCTAACACTTAATGTGGAGAAAGAGATGTCCTGTCTGGGTTGATTGTGCGTTGATCTGTTGGTAATGCCTCGGGGTTCCGGTGGGCATGTAAATAAATGCATAATGCAGAGCTATACTTTGCGGCCTCACCCGGTTGCATAGCGACGCTTATTGTTTAGGTGTCTTTTAATAAGCAGGTAGTCATATCATTAGCTAGAACTAGCTGGATCTGATCGATATGGACATAAACGCGAGTGAAGTTTAATCTGACGGGAGAGAGAGATCAACTGCTGCTGACGAGTCGACACGCAGCTCTGCATGATCACATGCAGCGGTGAGCGGACAAAACACACACTTCAGGTTAGAATATCACACGTAGCTATTTTAATTACCTCTCAAACTACCTAAACTAGTTATATGTTTAGTTTTACTGTCGGGTCACTCATTACTGGATCCGCGAGCTGCATGATACTGACAGGCTGTCAGGAGAGGGAGAGAGCGCTCCGTTTATTATTCCTGTGTTATTGTAAGTTACTGTNTTGTGAACAGAAATAGAGCTCTCAAAGAAAACACAGGAATGATCAGAGAGTGCAACATCACTCACCTCAACCTCAGAGATATTCAGACCCTTTGAGATAATTAAGTCCAGAGTGTGCCCCTTATTGTGCTTGGGCTCCGTCACATGCTGATTTAGTCCATAGTTATCAAGAACACAAAACAGTTCTTTCCTGACTCATAAAACTAAAGTTGGGAGGGGTTGATTCGATAAGAACAGCTGCACTTTTATTTTTATTCAATCCAAGTTTCCGTTAAAAACATAAAATCGAGATTGTGCTCAGTGATAAAATCATTGATTAAAAATGTTTTTCCTGCCAAAGACCTGATATTTAATAAAGCTAGTTTAAGTTTGTTAAATACACTATCAGTAAGATTTTTGTGACAAGCTGTGGCTGATATGGAATCACTGCTAAATTTGATAAACTCACACAAACGAGCACTTCCTGTTTCTAAGCTGATTCACTGCTCTTAATCTATTACCTATCAACACAGATATCGGCAAAGCTACTGGCAGGCAGGGCTCCGGCATGTCCTGGAAAGAGTTGAGAGTGCCATACACCCTTGAGCCTGGACCCAGCACATATCAGTTAGAGTTTGTTGCGTTTTGTACACACACATCCTTATCAGGCTTCGGAGACCGCAGATGCTTTCTTGAAGGGGGGAGGTGGTTGACATAGGCACGGTGATGAAGACGGGGGAGATGGTACGCGTCTCTGCTTCAGTGATTTTGGTGGGCGTTGTTGAAGGGCGGGGCTAAAGGACATGCTGCCAGGGGGGGGAGGTGGTTGATGTCGGCACAGTGATGAAAAATGGGGGAGATGGTGCGCGTCTCTGCTTCGGTGATTTTGATGGGCGTCGTTGAGGGGCGGGGGTAAAGGACATGCTGCCAACCCTGCGTCAGAGTTCCCGTTAGCCGGTAATTACCGGACTATGACCGGTAAAATATGCTGAAGACCGGCAATTCTACATCTCTCCGGTCAAAGTGTCCGGTCAAAATAATTTCCCCTTAGCGCAATACCGCATCAGTTGCGCCACGAGTGAAGTCTAATCTGACGAGAGAGAGAGAGATCAGCTGCTGCTGACGAGTCGACACGCAGCTCTGCATAATCACATGCAGCTGTGAGCGGAACAAAACACACACTTCAGGTTAGAATATCACACGTAGATATTTTAATGACCTCTCAAACTACCGTAACTAGTTATAGATATGTTTAGTTTTAGAGTCGGGTCACTCATTACTGATCCGCGAGCTGCATGATACTGACGGGCTGTCAGGAGAGGGAGAGAGGGCTCCGTTTATTATTCCCGTGTTATTGTAAATTACTGTACACTTTTGAATAGTTAATCTACTATAATTAGTTTGTTTAATATCGAATCATATCAATTTGTTTTAAAGCTCAATAAATAACAAAGAAGACCTGTGACCGGCACTTTTCAAATTTTGTCCGGAAGATTTAAACTTTAACGGACATGTTGACCGGCGAAAAAATATTCTAACGGGAACTCTGTGAGAGACATGTTGGGAACAGTGGAGCTTTGGGTGTGTGTGAAGGAATTGATGAATGGCATTCGCTCCACTGACACCTAGTGGTCCCAAATCACAATAAAGTTTTGTCACAGCTTTAAACAAAACAGAATCAGACATGGAAAATCAAGAAAATGGCCAAACGGACATAATATAGCCTCTGGATATTCAAATAAACCGAAAAATATATTTCAAGTTTTCACTTTGCGACCTATTGCAGAAAGTTGTGTTGCTGTGACGGTGTGTGTGTGTTTTGTTGTGAGATCAGCGGGTGTTTCCACGTACCCATGTGTCTCATGTTCCCTGGTAGGTTGCCTGGAATTGAGCGGTTTCCTCGTAGATCAGTTCCTTCAGCTTCTCCTTGGGCAGATCATCCAGCTCCATGGAGAAGGTGAAGGGCTCCTCCGCCACCGGCTACACACACACACAAAGACACACACATTGTTAAAACCTTCAACTTAAGGAGAGCCATTTCTTCACAATCAAGAGTTCAAAATAAAGTCTTGGTGGGTCAATTTAGGAATTGAGCAACATGCTGACACTGTTTGAGCCTTACAAAGAACCATTTCTATTTAAAATCTTCAATCATCTTGGCTGTGTTTATACAGCATTGATTTTGGAAAGGGTGTGATTTTTTATTTCCTTTGAGGTTCAACTTCAGTTCCTACAAAAAGTAAAAACAGGATAGAGGAATACAGACTTTCAGAAATGTCTAAAATGTTTCTATTTAAACCCTTTTTTTTATTCCACCGCCATATCTGCATAAAATCATGCATTTTATTATATCAGGCGTTCAATTCAGAGTCCTAGCTTCAACATTTATTTTTACTTTATTCCACCATACTGGAGCATTTTCTCATGTTTGCACTTTGTGGCTAAGAGCTGCTATTTTCCAGGTTTATTGCTCTATTTTGTGTAAATTAATATATCGTTTTATGGCCACTTTAAAACTCTGCTAAGGACATCAGAGCAACTCCTAAAAGTGAAGTCGGGCTTTATGACTAAGGCTGCAAGTGGGGAAAGTAGAGAGGCTTTGTGCAGCCCACACTGTGGTGTAAAATAAAAACATTAAACACTTTAGAAAGTCCAATTCAATGGAAGCTGTCACTGAAAAGCAGCCACGCTGGAAAAACCAGTGAAGATCTGATTTCTACAGTAGAGTTCTAGGAACCAGCCGTGCTGACGTACACGGGGATGCGATTACATTCTTTAACCTCTCTATGGCTGAACCATGGAGCGAATTTGATACTAATTGCATTCCCAACACAGCTAAGAGGCTTCCCAGCACAAAGCACAAAAAGGCTCACAAAACAAATCTTGGCTGATTTTCGAAAACAATGACTAACAGGTTTGAATGAATGAGCCCGTCTGCCTCCAAGATCTGTGCAAAGCCTCCTTTCTCTGTAGACAGTTTCTCTATTGATCGAATAAAATGCCTTGTCCTTACAACTTGTCTTTCAGATTCTACTGGCATGGTGTGTCAAGTGATTCTGCTGCGTACCTCATCTGTGGGGTCGTAGTACTGCTCCAAGTAGGGATGAGCCAGAGCCTCCTCCACGCTGATGCGCTTCACGGGGTTAAAGGTCAGCATGCGGCCCAGCAGGTCCAGAGCTGCGTTAACATTCATCAAGAGCTTCAGTTAGTAAATGAGGTTTCTTTATTTTCCTACAGTGCTATTAATCTTGTTTCTGGACTGACACTTAAACAACTTAAAGATATGAAAGAGAAAAAACATTACAAATATTTTCTTAATGATTTACTTGTTTTTCATTCACTGTAAAGCTGGATATTTCATAGAAAATACACATTTTAATATAGAAGTTAAGTAAGAGGTACATGCATTATAACTTGTGCTGTGTTAGAGGCAAATACCCATAATAGGTTGTATTAACTTTAATATATAATAATGTTAGAAGGATTTCGCACTGCAGTATATATAAATTACCCTTTTCCTCATCCTTTTCTTGGAAGGTGTACATTTTAGGGCTGCTCGATTATGGCAAAAATCATAATCTCTATTTGGGTCGATAATTGATATCACGATTATTAAAAAACGATTATCCATTTACTCTGAAAAAATCCATTTATTTAAAAAAAAAAAAATGTGAACAGTATGTTTTTAACAGTTGATTTCCCTGAACTTTAAGTATAATTCAACTGAAAAACCAATACAAAATAAATTAAAATAAAATAAATAATTGCGTTGTTTTCGCAATCGTGCAACCAAAATCATAATTGCGATTAAAATACCGTAATTTTCGGCTATAAGGCGCATCGAATTCCACAGCAGCGGCATACCCACTCTCGGTTCCAGCTTTAGGTTTTGCCGCGCTACCTGTCTCACTCTTTTCCGGCCTCCAGCTTTTCCTGCTGGAACCCGCCGCTTAAAGGTGGGGGTCCGCGGACCGGCCATAGAGCCCATAGAGTTAAAGGTGTTGGCCGTTAGCTGTAAAAATCCATAGATTAGCCGCACCGTTATATAAGCCGCAGCGTCGAAAAATAGGGAAAAAGGCGCGGCTTATAGTCCGAAAATTACGGTACAATTAATTGAGCAGCCCTAATATAAATTACCCCTTTCCTCATCCTTTTCTTGGTAGGTGTACATTTTACAATCACATGAAGAGGCATGTAATAGATCAAATAACAGACACCACTCACATTAAAAGCCTGTTATATATATCATTCGATATATGGGATGTAGAATGGGACTTTTCTTTTGTGCCACATAAAAGCAGACAAAAACACCTTGAACAGAAAGCCTATTGAATGCCCACTAATAGAAAAAGCCTATTTGCTCCATTTGCCCCACTGATCCCTCCAAACAGTTAGTCTCTAGGGTTTTATTTCATTTGATTAAATGAGTCTTTTTTTTCTTGCCCTACATTCTGGGTTAACAAATGGTGGTGCGTTACCTTTGGAGTCGGCCTTGTAGAGAGTCTCCCAGGGGATTCTGGGTTTTGGAGGCAGGGACTGCAGGTAGTTCCTGGCCTTCATGTTGATGATGCAGTTCAGATCATCTTGAGTGGGGGATCCAAGGACGCCTGCAGAGTGTGGTGGTCGGGGGAGGGGGGAGACGGATTTTAATATGGCAACACAACCCCATTTATGTTCTTACACTTGAAGCTTCTACTGAGGTTTCCGAATGAAGCTTTGAATCTATATTTTATTACATTATCTTTCTTTTATATTAGATTCATCTGAACAAATGAGTTTTTATTAAAAACATTTTTATGAATATAACTCGTCAGTGCATGTTGCTTTGTATCTGGCAAGCAAGATAGCAAGCCATTGTTTGAACACAGCGAACATTTTGGTTTCTGAAGGCTGCACCCCAACACATATTCAAAAATATTTAGTTCGATGAAAAACATTTCAATTTTTTAAGTGATTTTATGGCAATGTTTGGATCATACGAGTCGGAAACAAACACCCAGACATAACTAAATATAATTCTACAAATAATATAATGTTATTAGTTAATTAGTACGAGGAATACAAAGTATAATACCAATAATATTAGATTAGATCTTTGCAAAAATACTGGCTTAAAACAGAATAAATATTGGCGTCGTTTTAGGATTTCGATGTCAACATTATGATAGAATGAAACTATTTGGTACAGCGAGTCTTTAGCAGCAATGACACACACTCACCCAGTATATGGTTGAGCTGGTCCAGGTAGTGTTTCCCGGGGAAGATGGGCCTGTTGGACAACATCTCAGCCAGGATGCAGCCCACTGACCAGATGTCAATGGACTTGGAGTAGCCCTGAGACACAAACACACAAACGGTGAGAACAACTCACCAAACGAGCAACCCAGTCCAACACAGATGCAGTAACTCTCACACAAACCTACCTTTGAGTTGAGCATGATTTCTGGAGCCCTGTACCAACGCGTGGCCACGTACTCGGTCAGGAAACCTGTGTGGTCGTGCTCCGGGTCGGCTATCCTCGCCAGGCCAAAGTCACAGATCTGAGGATAACAAGAAGGGTCAGAGGTCAACAACTTCATTTACTCGAGATGTGACCAACATTCAAGACTTGCAGAAACATGAAAAAGGCTGTACGTGTTTTTATTTCTAATAAATTGGCCCCAAATAAAATTGCAGGAAACGTGAGGCCAGGCACCATAACAGTACATACATGCTGTACACAATGCACAGTGGAGTAATATACATTTTGTAATTCTCCTATATGTTTACCTTTCTATAGCTGTATTCATAAAAAAGTATTTTTTTTTTATTATTAGGTTTTCATGTGCTGCTTCTATTCTGCACTTCGTCTACATGATCAACTGATCCAGGGCTTTGTGGTTAGTTGCCGATAGTTACACACGTACCCTGAAGCTATACAACACTGATAGCATCTCGTTTTAGGCTTCAAAAACACAACCACTGCAGAAACAACATTAGGAAACACTTAATATGACGTTTTTGGAGGATGTTATCAGTCCTTAGGGCTTTTAGTAACTTTTATGTACGATACATTCTGATTAGCATTTTTACTTAATTTCCCAGAAGGCACTTTAGTGTACTTTGAAGTTGTGCAATAGCAGGTTGCCAGCGCCATGTCTCTCACTCATTAAACAGGCTCCAGCTGTATTAAGTCAAATGAAATGCATTATATGGACAATAAATGGCATGCATTTAGATTGTTTTAGATACTCATTAATACCCTTCAGAAGAATTTTACATGTGGCTTCTTAACTGCAAAGATAAGAAACACAAAGACTTAAGCTCAAAGGGGAATCAGAAGAGCATACTGTGTGCCCTAAGGGGAATATCTTTACAGTGTTGCAATCCAAGTGCAGTAATTTAATATTTAGTAGGTGAAGGGCCATGGCAAGCAAGGAAGGGCTCGGGTCAATCCAGCACCCATATCCAACATTCCTGAGATTCCCTTTCAATCTTGTTGAGCCCTGCAACTTGCGCCTGGTACCAATGTTTACATAAACACAATGAAGCTTGTGTAAATCATTTCAGCCGACTGAAAACAAGACAAATGCACCGTGTGAGTGTGAAAATATCCTCTTTAGAGCTTTTGTCTCAAAATATGAAGTATAATGTAGCAGTTACCACATGCTAACTTTAGAAGGGGGATTTTTAACACCTATACTAAATATACAACATGCAAATGGAGAATTTCCACTTGTTGGACCATGACCTGCACCATATGAGGACTACGGTTCTACTGAAATAATGCTAGTTGCTAGTTGATTTAAACATTTTGTTAACCGAGTGGTCATTGGAGTTATGATCAAATGCAACAATACAAACTGATTCAAACAATCCACGAGTGCAATTTCGCAGTCTTTAGTTGTGTGTCTATCACATGGGAACTCTTTTGTAGTCATTCTGAAGAGGCCATTGGAGGAAGTGCAGTTCTTATCTCTTAGCTTTGAGTTTTATCACTTGTGTACATAAACAAAAAAAAGATATTTGTGCGTGTGCGTACCTTGAGGTCGCAGGTGGTGTTGATGAGCAGGTTGGAGGGCTTGAGGTCACGGTGCAGCACGTTGGCAGAGTGGATGTACTTGAGGCCTCGCAGGATCTGGTAGAGGAAATAGCAGACGTGGTCGTTGCTCAGCCTCTGAGTCTTCAGCAGCTTGTACAGGTCCGTCTCCATCAGAGTCTGAACGATGTAGCTGGGAGGCGCCGTCAAGGAGCACATCAACAACCCACAGAGTTAAAGGACACCGCGAGAGACATAAAGACTGCTCTGAGAGGGATTTAAGGGCCCTTAATTATTTAGCAACATGTATAAAATCAAACCAAGATTTGCTGACACATACTTATATTTCCCTGTTAAAACAAACAGTAGGTTGGACTTTCAGCTTATGTAATGTTTTCTAGACTTATATATATCTTACATGTAGTCAGGTTGGCCTAATAGGGGCAATTTTTGTGGTGCAATTTGTTTATTTTCTTGTCCAGATATTTACTCTGGCATCACTATCAATCCAAATATATCCATTCCTTGGTTTATGACCAAATCCTAAGAAAACAGACATCAGTAAGTAGCCTTTTTATATTTTTAACCGTAGAACATGTTTGTTTTTTGCATCAACTGTGGTTCCAACCATTCTCATTGTACGCACTGCAATTTAAATATTATTAATACTAACACCAATTCCCTTTAAACAATTGTATTATCATTTATTGAAAAATGTAGCTTGTCCAGCCAGTTTGGTCTTTCTCCTGTTAAAGGTTCCACTAAACTTCCATTTTGGAGCTCTACCCTAAACTGGAGCAATGGTAATCAGATAAATAACTTTTTGTTTGGCAATGTAGCAGCCACATTTCTTTTCTAATTCTCCTGCGCACTTCAAATATACAAAGCAAAACTGTTGCAATATAATTACTCTTCAAATGGTCACTGTACACTCTCGTTTTACAGGTTCTTGAATGCATCATGACTAGATATTACATTTAATACAAAGTTATAGGTACACTTCTGCATGAAGGACTAAAACTGATAATACAAATTGGTTGAGTTGGGTATATTTACATTATCAAAAATATTGCCAACAATTTTCCGACTTAAAGTAGTGAATTTTAATGAATGAAACGATCCGTCGCATGCCGATGGAGATCCTTTAAGCAAGTTTCAGCCTTGTCGTTTGACATTGACTTTTTGTCAGATTTTGATATACTTCTAAACTATAGCTAAAAAAGATGAAGCATTTAAGTCATTGATTTGTGGATCTTAAGTAATCAGAGAAGGAGTAAAAAAGCTGATCTGAGCTTAGCAGTGAGCCCGTTCCTGTGTTCACCGAGAAAACAATTCACAATTGTAAAAATGGTTTGTTTTGGAGAGGAGGCAACCAATAGAGATCATTCAGTTCTCGGTAACAACACTAATAATCCTAACCTGGGGAAGCTGGCTACAATAGTGGTTAAGGAGACAACTCCCATGATCCCACGCTATTTCACGATGCCACAATACTCTGTCTTTTGTTATTTTCACTTAATTGAGGGACCTCTTGTGTCAACTGTCAAAGGCTAATGATGGAACACAATTTTATTTATTTATTTTAAACTAGTTCAATCCTATATAGAAGTTTGATTTGATTTAAGCTTGGACAATAAGTGAGAAATGCATGAGCAGAGCCTTTTTCCTGGAAAGCATGAAAGGATACACATCCCTCATGTTGTCGAGTACCCGTGCCCTGAGAATGTCGTTGATGCCGATGATATTCTCATGGTGGAAACGCAGCAGGATCTTGATTTCCCTCAGTGTACGCTGGCAGTACGTCTGGTGCTCAAACGGGCTGATCTTCTTGATGGCTACGCGCGAGCTTGTCACGCTGTCCATAGCAGAGCTGGAGGGTGGATGTGGAAAGAGGCACACAACAAGTCTCATGTTACACACTGTACACTCCACAATGACGTTATCAGAAACTGGGCTAATGCCGAGCTCCAAAAGGGCGTTGCAGACGGTCTCCATTGCCAAGATGACACGTCTTTTTGATATGAAATGAAGTGCTGTAGGTGTATTTCTGAGTGTAGGAGCAGTGTCAGTGTGGTGTAGGTGTGGAGTAGATGGAGGCTGAGAACAGCTGTGAGTGATGCATTTCTGGGACTCTTGAATTCACTTTGTGGGGGAAAAAAACCTCCAAGCTAGGTTTTAAACACTCAACAGGAACAACAGTTACATCACATCTTCTCTATTGGTTAAAGTGTCTTTTCTTATTGCACAACACACACTGCATAAACTGAGCAAGTTCACACACACTACTAAAGGCTAAAATAATGTTGTAAAAATCAAGAGGGAATTTATATACACATGGTAATGTGTAACAAAATATATGGACATGTTGTTTATGATAAGCTATAGTTAGTTTGTGTTCACTGTAACAACTAGTGGGTGATGATGACAATGTTTACAAATACTGCATCAGTGGAACCACATGCCCAGGATGACAGTAAGAAAATAACACTGGTGAAAATGACAGTGATCTACACGGGGTGTGTTGTTGGCCTGGCTCTCACTCGAACATCCTCTCTCCACTGACACGCATTGCTGTCACATCTGATCCTGTTCACAGATCAGCCTCGACTGCGATGACTTGGCACCAATGTCAAGTGCAACAAGGGTTGCTTAACATGTCCACACAAGGCTATAGATCACCTACAACGATAAACACGAGGCCTCGCTACAATTGACAAATCCCACTCGCATCCTCTGCAGCAGATTTACTGCAAGCTTCAGGTTTCAGATTAATGTGGCTGTTCTGGATGGATGAGATGACAATAGCGATAACTATGTCAAACGTGCGTGCAAATGCAGTCTGCAAAACATTTCTCAGCGCAAACCAAACTACGTCCTGCGCAATCACTCCCAATCTTGTTTCCTGTAAAGCTCATAGCCACGCCTGTAGCTAGTCAGCTAACTTGCTAACCATAACATCAGATTCAACAATGTCTGAATGTCGGGCAGCAGCATCGCACACAAACATCGACGCTGCACAGTGACTGGGTGCCGCTTGTTGAATGTAGACGCTGGGGTTAGCTGGCTAACAGTATGTGCTAACAAACAGCTTAGGTTAGCTAGCACTTTTTTTTATTAAGACTGTACGGTGGCCCAACGGAAAAGACAACTCACCAGACCATCCCGTAAGCCCCCTCCCCGATGTAAGACAGGTTCGTGTAGCGGGGGCCCACATCGAATAGCTGGCCCTTCACGGACTCGGACGGGGCCTTGATTCCCACAACAGGAGCCGCTGCTCCGTCCTGCGCCACCGAGCCAGCCGCCCCGGCAGCGCTGTTGGAGCCTGCGGCCGCTGGGGCCGCTGCGGTGCTGCCTGAATCCGCCATTCTTCCTCTCCAAACCTATCCGGCTCTGTCACTGTGCTTCACCGAGGCTCTGCTGCTGCTCTGCGCGGTGTTAACGTTTGTCCGGGGCCTTTAAACGGGAGGATTGTTTGATTGACGGAGCAAAGCGACTCGATCAGGGCCCTCTCTACTACCGGAGTGTAAATGGATTTCGTGCGCGAGCCCGGATTTGGTTTTAGCACCGTGCGTAAAATGCTCGTGCCAAACTACGGTAATACAGGTGCGTTAGATATGGTTGCGAGGTTGACTTGTGTGGGCGGAGTCGCGTTTATTAGCTTGAGGCTCCGCCCGTGTAGCTCCTTTGTGGCAGTGAAACAAGCGCAGTCTGCAAAATAAACATGCAGCAGCAGCCACGAGTGGGCGTGCCGAAATATGTTGCATGCTGCCTGTTGTGACAAGAATAAAACACTTTATGATCGAATGTTTATTGTATCGGTTCTTTTGTGTCAATCCACCTTCATAGACCATCCATTAAGAGTATCTAACAATCTTTTTTGTTTGCATTTTCAAGGAATTCCCTGCATATCACAGGATACGATTGTTATAGTTGCCTGTACATGAACATATATTTATTTTATTGCCTTTCGTTCAAGACATATTCATTACAATATATAAGAAAATATGGTGTTATCATTGTAGATGTCTTCTTAATGGCTAGGTTTGTATATTATCTTTTCCAAATGATTGAGATTCCCGAATCATAAAACAAATATTTAAATATTTTGCATATTGTTATCTTAGTGCTTAGATTTGTCAAAAATTGGTGACCATTTCGATATTATTATCTTTCAACCTAATACACAAATTCACAAAGATATGCATTCGTTTTTTTATTAATTATTTACAAATCAGGTGCACATACATTTCAATCATCTATTTTATTTTTTACCCTTGTTTATTTGTTAGATAATAAATACTTGACACTTATCACCATGGAAACGAGTGCGACTGCCGTAGCCGCTCCTCTTTGCTGACGTCACCGCGTCGGGTGGTGCACTTCCTGGTTGGTTACTTGGTGCTTCATGCATGTTGTACTCTAGTTGATTTAAGAATATCGATTTATTTTCTTCGAGGAATGATACATTCCCTCCGGCGACGTGACTGGATCGGTCGGATTCGTCTAGCACTCACTCTGTTCGGACTCCCGTACACCGTCTGCACCCCCGGAGCTAGGTACAGTAACGTTAGTTGTAAAGACTCAACTAGAAGCTGCGAGAATTTGACATTACAGGACAGTTTTAGAATTTTAGAGAGCACTGTTATCAAGAGTATGCTGCACTACCTATTTATGTCCTTGCTCAATCCCAGGTCACATCATCGAAGTATGAACTATGCTTTATATAAACGTTGCTAACAAACAAGATGTATTTCCATTTCATATAACTTAAGTAAATGTTATGTCAAAAAATAAGGAACAAAATGTACAACTAAACCATCAATACTTAGGAAAAATGTGTTAATCAAACTATAAAAGTAGCTCTCATCCTAAAGATAATTATAATCTCAATTTAACTTTTACCTGGCTGAAAAGAAGATCTATATTATAGAATAGAATAGAATTGGGAGGGATGAAACCCTCTGTAATGGTCACACATGCAGAGCACACAGCACACACAGTGAAATGTGTTCTCTGCTTTTAACCCATCCTAGTGCCAGGAGTCTAGTACTAGGAGCAGTGGGCAGCTATTGTACAGTGCCCGGGGAGCAATGGGAGTGGGGGGGCGATGTCCGGTGCCTTGCTCAAGTGCACCACAGCAGGTCAGAAGGTGAACTGGGACCTCTCCAAGTAGAAGTCCACACTCCATATTTTAAGTCTGGTCGGGGACTTGAACCGGCAACCCTAAGGCTCACAGTCCAAGCCCCTACTGACTGCCGGATAACACCCTGTTGCCATGATAGGATTTAGCACTTAAGGGTTTCCATTGTTTGCCAGGAGCACAATAAGTGCATGTGTGTACTGGTATCAAGCTGCTTCAGGGAAGTCAAAGTGAGGTTATTGCTAAAAGGTTTTCTGTCTCATGTTTCATCCCCTGCAGGCCTGCCATCTCTTGCTCGTATTCTCACAATTTCAGGACCAGTCAGACATTGGGACCAATAAGTACAAGTTTCTGTAACCTTTACACGACTGGTGTCCAGACAATGCCGTCTTCATCAGCGCCCCACTTCAAGTCCAGATGCCCCCAGTATCCAGGGTCCAAAATCAACCGCTTCCTCGTGCCTGATGACAAGGTGGGCTGGAGTCAGAACTGGCCGCAGTATAAACCCCTCAGCTACACCGACCCTTTAGTGGAAAAGAAGCCAGTATGGGCCGATCCTGAGATTGGGTGAGCAATACATTTCAATTAATGTTACATAAATTGGCTGTTTTGAGGCATTCTGACTGTAAACATGCTGTTTGTTTTCAAAGATCAGCTGGAGTTATTCATGCCTGTTTTTATGACATTTCCTTGTTTCTGCAGCTCTTTCTCTCCTAAGTTCAACACTGTGGACGGTGCTGTGGACAGGACAAGCTTCGAGGGCAGCTACAAAATGGAAAAGCAAAAGCCACTGTAAGTTATACCAAGAGAAATAGTTTTGTTGGATTGGTTTAGCTTGAAAACAGGTACTTCAAAGTCACATAGGCATATGGTGCTTTCCAGGCCTTGAAGGATAGAGAGTAGAATCTAAAAGAAAGTCACAGTAAAATAATTAGTTGTGAATCAGAATCAGAATACCTTTATTAGTCCCACGGAGGGGACATTTACATTGTTACAGCAGAAAAAAGCCAAAGACAGCTTAATGTTACTAAGTTTATTTGTCATATCATTTATATCTAAGGCTAATATGTTTGCAAGGACTCAGACTGCAAGGAATCTGGGTGTGACCCTAGATAACAACCTGTCCTTCACCGCAAACATCGCTGCTACAACCCGCTGCTGCAGATACACTCTTTACAACATCACTCCTCCTGACCCAGAAAGCGACGCAGCTTCTGGTCCAGGCTCTCGTCATCTCACGCCTAGACTACTGCAACTCCCTCCTGGCTGGTCTACCTGCATGTGCCATCCGACCTCTGCAGCTCATCCAGAATGCAGCGGCTCGTCTGGTCTTCAACCTTCCTAAAATGTTCCCACACCACGCCGCGCCTCCGCTCCCTTCACTGACTTCCAGTAACTGCTAGAATCCACTTCAAGACACTGGTACTTGCGTACCATGCTGTGAATGGATCTGGCCCTTCCTACATCCAGGACATGGTTAAACCGTACACCCCAGCACGTGCACTACGCTCTGCATCAGCCAAACAGCTCGCTGCACCCGCACTGCGAGGGGGACCCAAGTTCCCATCAGCAAAAACACGTGGGTTTGCTATCCTGGCTCCAAAATGGTGGAATGAGCTCCCCATTGACATCAGGACAGCAGAAAGCTTACACATCTTCCGACGCAGACTAAAAACTCATCTCTTTCAACTCCACTTCGAGCAATACAATGACTAACAGAGCACTTATCTTATCTAAAGCCAGTTGAGTAGCACTTGAAATGTTTTGGCTCTATGAAACCTGATGTACTTATATGATTCTGTTTTCTTCAAGTTTATATCTTCTTGGTCGAACGCACTTATTGTAAGTCGCTTTGGATAAAAGCTAAATGCAATGTAATGTCATGTAATGTAATGTAATGAAGGATAGCTGCACAGAGCCCTTTCACATTTCATTAGCCGTTTCATTAATTGTTAATGTCAAGACATCGATTAAGCTTTTATAGTAATGGACAGATGTATGGATGAGCTCGTTTTCTAAAAGTAATGTTTTTAATTGTACGGCCTACAACAATGCTGTGTGCTCTCGTTACTAAAGAGGTTTTTGTGTTTGTCAAATATTTTTATATTGGCTTATAAATGAATGATCTCATTTTATTCTTGTAGAAATCCCCGTGGACGCACAGGGGTGACAGGCAGAGGATTGCTGGGACGATGGGGACCCAATCATGCTGCAGATCCCATTGTCACAAGGTAACTTTGTCTTTTCTTTGCATATTGATATTACCCTGATACTTATAACACAGCTCAGTACTCAATTTAGTAACATAAATACCTCACTACCAACAGCCAAGCAATTTAAGGTTCTTCACAAACACGATATCACTAGAACCTTTCTGTCTTCTTATAAAAAAAGAGTTGCTCATTTCCCAGGAAACAAAGCCATTTCTTTCATATTTTAAGATTTAAAATCATCATTTTTTGTTTGTAAGATGGAAAGTAGATGCCAAAGGAGGAAAGACACTTCACTCAGTGTCAAAGCGGCCTGTCCTGCAGTTTGTGTCCATCAAGAGGAAAGACTGTGGGGAGTGGGCCGTTCCTGGGGTTAGTGGCTTTATATTTCTCCCTCTTCCAAAAAGTTAAAAGCCAAGACATTGATGGTGTTGAGTGGTTTAGGGGGTATACGTTGTCACTGTCTTGTGACTTGGCTTTGTATTTGTATGTTTTTTTTGTAGGGGATGGTAGACGCCGGGGAGCAGGTCTCTATCACGCTGCAGAGAGAGTTCTCAGAAGAAGCTTTGAACTCATTGGTCATCACACCATCAGAGAAAGCAAAAATCAGTGATCGCATCTCCAAACTCTTCAAATCACCAGGGTTTCAGGTCAGGAAAAGCCTCCCACTCTCTCTCTCTCTATTAGTTGTTTTCTGCCACCTTTTAGTCAACAGTTTATTTTTTGTCTACAGGTTTATAAAGGCTATGTAGATGATCCTAGAAACACTGACAACGCTTGGATGGAGACAGTTGCTGTTAACTTCCATGATGACTCAGGTATAAATATTACGAAACATTTTTTTTTTAAATTGCTATAATATTTTATTTAAAAATGCAAATGATGGATTATCTTAACTTCGACTACTAATTGCATACTTAACGTTCCCTAAGTTAAATACAGACATTGGATATAGCCAGGTTCTTGTTAACATAGGGAATTAGTATTACTCAATTTTTTTAAATACCCTTGGAGGTTATCTAGGAGAAATCTATTGACGCAAATAGACAAAGAGTAATAAAAAGACACTTAAATGTGGAATTTGAATGTTTTTGCCTTTAGTTTCTCGTCTTAATTATCTAAACGCTGTTCTTGAGATATTTTCTCTCTGGTGGCAACAAACAGGTTTTTTTTAGGGCCATGACATCTTTGTTGTTACCGTAGGCAACAGTGTCAGCGAGCTGCCGCTGCAAGCTGGTGATGACGCAGGAGAAGTCCAGTGGGTTGATGTTGACTCGTCCTTCCCGCTCTACGCAAGTCATTCCCATTTCCTGGAGCTGGTTGCCAAAGAGAGGAAAGCTCACTGGTAACCAAGGACGACGGACTCTACTCTGACACCACGATGAAGGAAACATGAAGAGCTGCTCTCTGTGTGCTGAGGATGCATGGCATCTAACATTATGCAAGTCTTACCTCACTAACTTAAACATAATAATCATATTTGTAAAAGCCAAAAACGTTATATGCATCTCTAGTTTGACATTCATATGTATGCCCACTAATGAATGATACATTGTGACTGCAGAATCTATTAAATGAATGAAACAAACAGGTTAAAGGGGCCCTATTATGCTATTTTTCAGGTTTCATATTTGTATTTTGTGCCTGCACTGTGACATGTTTACGTGCTTTAATGTTCAAAAAGCTCTTTATTTTTTTCATACTGCCTGTGCTGCAGCACCTCTTTTCACCCTCTGTCGGACACCAGAGCCCAGTCTGCTCTGATTGGTTAGCTTACCGGCTCTGTTGTGATTGGTCAACCACTTAGAGAGGTCCCTCCCCTTAGCCTATCACGTACAATGTGTGTTATAGTCTAATAAGAGAGAAAAGCTCAGCCCATGTTAGTTATGTTGTTTGACTTTTATTCCTGAAAAGAAGACAATTGAGTTTCATTTTTAAACATTCACGTAATTGTTTGGAAGAAGCTTTACATGAGACTGTAAAATGCAAGATGCTGCTGAGTGGCAAACCAGATTATTTCTACTGGCACTAATTATGCTGATGTGTTCAATGCTAGAAAGGATCACATTAGCCCAATGTGATCATGTAAGAACAAACACAAAGAGCTGCTGAACATAACACATACTACATTAATTTAAGTGTGATAAGGGAGGGCAATCAAATTGAAAAAGTGTACACTGACTTTGATCTTTAGACGTGAATGGAATATGAAAATGTGCTGGAGCAAGCCACTGAACTACACACCGGCTGAAGCTAGGAGACAAACATGTTTTAAGAAGTGATAACAGACGGTGGAAGCAAAGGCCTTTTCACACATAACAGCCTGCCTTTTCCAAAATGTTCACATCAGTACGTGTCATCTCACTGCTGGGCGTATTTTGTGAGGAGGCAGGGATGCAGAATTACGCAAGAAGAGGCTGTTAGCATTCATGATAAAAACACTAACACTGGGACCCTTCTGTCATCAAATAACAGCCAGCAACAGACAACCAAGTCTTTGCAGTAAAACATATTTGTCTTCCGACTAATTAACAGATTTGAGATCTGATATGTTATGTATGCTAAAAAAAAAAAACTAGTGAGGAGGCCAATGAGGCACTTGTGGCTGAAAGGGAACTATTACTACAAAAAGGTTATTGAAGGGGTAGCTCTGAGTTTTGAACAGGGGTAATATGAAGTAATCATCCACATTCAGTGTGTTCCCTGGACAAAATAACAGGAGTTTAGGTGCAGTAGCTAAGCAATGATCTGATTTTTTCATCTCTGCAGAATGTGAAATTAGTTTCAGTGTTATGATTAATGTTATACATAAAGCCTTGCTTATTGTAATGTCTGTATATGCTTTGATGTGAAAATATACCCATAAGTGTCGACTTACTAAACATGCACTGAAAGTCTGTTTATTGTTTTTTCATTTGACTCACTTGAAATTGTAAATCAGTAAGAATGATTGGGTGGATTTGTTAATTTTTAGCCATAAAATATATGTATCTAAGAAGTTGTTGCATTAGGAGCATTCATCTTTAATATTTATGCAAATCTTGAGATCTGATTTGATTTGATTTGTGTTTGATCTTAAGAGATCTTCCTCAATGTCTAATGTGTTTTTCTTCCCATTTAATGGCCGAATAAAATATATAAAAAATACATTTCATTTGGTCAAATATTTGTTCATTGCTCCTTGTGTTTGTATACTGATGAGTTGCTTGCCGTCTGCTGTGTGCATTGGGTCTGCTATTGGATGCAGGCCCAAGCACTCTCTAAAGACTACTTCTGTGCGATGGGTTGTTACATCTCCAATCATTTACTAAATTGATAGTGATGTTTTCCTCAATGGCCTTGAACTGCTTGAACCACACATTAATCTGTTAGTAGTCTCCAGTCCTCACACAGACAACAGCAAGCTATACTGCCTCATTACTGCAGTTATTTGAGAACAAATCAGTGTGACAGAAGATGGGAGGCAAATTAGTCTTTTAAACTTATACAAACCATACACTGTATTTGCTTGGTGTCATCATTTATTAATAAATATTAGTGTTTCCAGCTGGGCTCATGACAGTACAGTAGGCCTAATGTGGATTTCATTTCAACACAGCCTTTGTGGTGTGTAGTTCTTTATCTTTTACAGCTGCCTATACATTTATTTACTGTAGACATGAGTGCATCAGACAGTCTTGTAAATTCTTCAAATATAGATATACCCTTAAACAGAACTTGAATGTACACAATATTAAGGGTCGAACCTGTTTTCGCGTTTTATACTGTTTTTTGTTTCGTTAGCATATGTGGCTGTTGGTGGACTGACGCTACATACATTCAATGGAGTAAACTACATAACCCAGAAGCCTTTGCGACAAAAGCCGTTCCATTCCATCTGAGGACGTGGCTAAACTTACGTCTCAACCCCGTGTGTTAGCAGAGCAGACCGGGGCGATTCAAACAGGGCTAACCGGCTTTGTTCATAGCTAGCACAGAGAGTAATTTACTTCAACATTTATATACAGAAGTGAGACATCCTCCACGAGGTACAATGTCTGGGAAAATCAAGAACCGAAATGCCGCGAACGCAGAGGCGCTAACCGGCGGAGTGTCCTGCGATGAGCGTATCTTGCGGGACTGTCATCAACTGTACACGGATCCAGCCAGTGGTGAGTTGGCGACTATATTTGCTTGACTCAAACACTCACCTCACTCGAAATTGCTCCAACTTTCACACATGTTTTAATAAAGTTAGCAAGCTGTTTTGCTGACCAAGGGTTTGCTAACTAACTTGTTGAGACGTTAAACCTGACACAGGGGGCTAACAGTTAGCTAGCTATTAAGCAAGAAGTGTGGGATTTGATTCTCATCACGCGAGCTAACTAATGCTAGTTTTATTAGCCACGTATGGAGAGCTGGCAATTAAGAGTCAGCTACAAAATGACAACGGTTTAGCAGTGTATGCTAGCTAGCTCTTAACATGCTAAGTTTGAATGGTGACAGTTAATTAGAGACTGCTCACTCAGGGCGTGATTCAGGAGCCACGCAAAGAATGATGGGTCCCCAGAAAAAGAATGAATGAATTGCATCTGATTTTTAAAATGCCATCCTTAGTTTAAAATCCACTAAATAAAATACTCCTGCTGAAGTGTGATGGGCCTTTCTCCAGCTCCTGTTCACTCCTGTAGCAGTCTTGCTCTTGACCTGAGAGCTGTCATAGCTCCAGTTTAACTTGATGAATACATCCTGGATTTGACAAAAGTCTGTTATTTTTTTCAGGGTTGATCTCTGTTGCCGAAACTGTTGGTGTGAAGCTGCTGGCGCCCAGGAAAAAGATCACTGTGATGCTGATGGGAAACCACTCTGCTGGGAAAAGCTCCTTCATCAACTGGTGAATATGTTTGACTACAGTTTGTCCAAATGTACATCACAGAGAGAAAATCACATTTCTCTAGGCTTAGCAAACAAAGTGATGACTTGCATGCAACCCAATGAAACACAAGGAAATAAAAGCGTGAATCAGAAAATCACATGTTGAAAAGACTTAAAGCAACAGGTCTACATAGAACTCCAAGTTAAGTTTCTGCCTGTCCAGCTTTATTTGTTTCTGTTGCATTCTGGGACACCCCTCCTTGGCACAGCTTTGTAATCGTGACTGTTTCGTTTCGTCTTTTTTTTGTCAGGTATGTTGAAGAGCACATCCAGCGCACAGGAGTGGCCATTGAGACTCAAGGCTTCAGCTTTGTTACAAGTGGGCGCAAGAGAGAATCTCTCACAGTGAGTGCAACAGCAAAAAAACAAAAAAGCACCATTTATTGTAAAATATCTTAATATGTTGCAACATCTGCTGTTTTTATTGCAGTTTTTATTTCCTCATTTTAATTACTTGGAACTATTTCCAATGTAGTATTTCCGTTCTTCTTAAGGTCCTGATACCTGGTTCCCATTCCCTACTAATGCAGTTCTGCTTTTCTTTAGGGAAATGCCACCCTTCATCTGTATCCACATTTCAAGCCTCTGCAAGAGTTCAAAGGTGAGATTTCAGCTCTTATCACAATCTGTCCCTGTTGATGACTCACTTTAACATAGTGCAGAAAAAACATGTTGTGTGGCTGGCAGAGCATCCATTTACCCCTTGAACTTTAAAAACAATAATCAAGCTCCCAGAATCACTAGACTGACACGACTAGACCAAACCGAACTTCATAGATTGAGTGACATAACAGGATTAGCATGATGGAGCAAGACAAAAAAACTCTGACAGTGTTAAATGATCTGTATCAAATGTTAATAAACATGTCATCATCTGCTGTCCACCAGTTTTCACCCATCTTCTCTGCTCTTCTTGAATCTGTATCTAGGTGTTTCAGAGTACTTGAGCACAGAGATCTGCACGTCGCGACAGAAACGTTTCAGCCTGGTGACGTTTGTGGATTCACCGGGGCTGGTGGACGGTGATATGAAGTACCCCTTCGATGTGGACGAGGTCATCATGTGGCTGGGTGAGTAGCAACTATCTTACATATTGTCATACTGTAAAATAATACAAGATTAAAGGAGTGACATTTGTTCACTCTGTTGTCTCCCCTTAAATTGAAATATTGGCCTAAAAAGTGTTTTTCTGCTACAGTGTGTGTGTGTGTGTGTGTGTGTGTGTGTGCCATTAGCCATCTTGCCCCAGGTTATCTGCCTCTCTCACCACTTCCTTGGCAGGCAAACTTAGATGTACTCAAAGCAAACTGTTAAAAGTCTTGTAATCATCTTTCAGGGAAATTAAATTGTCACAGTATAATGAAACTGTGTCTAAAAAGCTTCACAAAACCGTTTAAAGAACTTTAAAGAATATAACTCACAACTTTTCTCTTTGACATCTCACTTCCATTACCATGCTTTTAAATTAATAAAGAAGAAGAATGTGATGCAATTCAATGTGTATTGTGTCACATTCTTATATTACAATCAGTAAACAATATTTATTCCCACTGTTCCTCTCAGGCGATGTCTGTGACCTGATCCTGGTCTTCTTTGACCCCATGGGTCAGGCTCTGTGCAAGCGCAGCCTCAACATTGTGGAGAAACTGAATGACAAACATGGAGACCGACTGCACTTCTACCTGAGCAAGGCTGACGAGGCCGGGGGGGAATCGGACAGACAGGTATGCACTTAAAAGCTTGCACCATCTTTATTAGATTTTAGAAAAATACACTCATCTAGTACAACCCATTTTGTAGAAGTTAAATAAGTAGTATCCACAAGTTACAAAGCATGCACTGATGTGGTCAGACTGAGCCCCCGCAGCCCCAGCAGGGATAATCACCTAAAATAGTCTATAAGGTCCTCTTCATGGTGAAGTGTGTGGGTGGTTTGAAGCTGTTGTTAAGTGTCTTTACTAGTGCAGGCTTTAAAGTGTATATGAGAAGAGAACATGGACATTCACTTGCATATTATGTTGTCCTTTTACCAGAGTTTCACTGAGAACTCTCTCCCTCTGACTTCTTTCTTTGTCTGCCTGTTGCAGAGAGTAATGATGCAGATTGTCCAGGAGCTCTGCAAGCGGCCTGGACTCAACAAGTGTGGTTTTGACATGCCCACAATCTACATTCCTAATCCAAATAAGGTAAGGGTTGCATTTTCATAGAGCTCTAGACGATTGCACCCTTTTTAGGCTCATGTTTTTGCTCCTTCAATTTGTTTTTTCAAGTAATTCCAATTATTTTAAGAGATCGTAATGTGAACGTAATGTGAACGTAATGAGAACGTAATGTGATCGTAATGTGAACGTAATGTGAACGTAATGTGATCGTAATGAACGTAATGAGAACGTAATGTGATCGTAATGTGAACGTAATGTGAACGTAATGTGATCGTAATGTGAATGTGAACGTAATGTGAACGTAATGTGAACGTAATGTGAACGTAATGGGAACGTAATGGGAACGTAATGTGAACGTAATGTGAACGTAATGGGAACGTAATGACGGCTGCTAACTGTCTTTGTTCCTGCTCTCAGCCGAGTCGCTGTGTGAACCAGATCGAGGATGTTTGTCGCACCGTCGAGAAAACCATCAACCAAACGGTCCAGAATACTCTGAACTCCCTGGAGAAGGACTGCGAGGTGATCAGCGAGGCCATCGCTGACACGCTCAGCAACGACAGGTAGGAACACTTTCTGTTACAGAAGGAAATATAGTTTGGGTAAAACAAATATGCAGAATTGTCGCAGCAGTAAACGATTAAGAACACAAAATTAAACAGGATTGTATTTTATTGCGTGCAGGACCGAGGTGAGGCTACCTTCGTTGTATATTTACAGTTGAATACACTCCTAGTATCTAGGCATGGGACCATATGAACATTCTTGATAATCCTGGAGAAATAAACTGCCATTCATTATTCAAACTTGATTATCCCTATTTTCATTAAAATATGCTTAAAACTCTTGTTTGGCACTGAAACATACAAAGTAAAACTACACGTTTGTATTGCAGATAAGACTTATATCTTAATTAGTGAGCATCTCTTTTTAGTTAAATGGAACATACTTAAATAAGATAATCACCAATCACAGTTCTGCATAAATAAAAAAGGTAACATTACTTGAGTCTGGTTCTTAGTTATATTTATCTGTTGTTATAAAAATATATATATTTATATTTCTTCTCAGTAGGACACTTTCCGGTTGGCTATCATTTATTTTATGGAGAGAAAATCACTTCTCACATTAGAATATTTTTTGAAATGTTGCTATCCAAAGAGCTTAACATTTTTTCTAAATCAAATCACTATCAATCATACCAATAAAACCTTCAAATTAAAAGCACATTTTTAAATGTTGATTGAATAACGTCGACCCTCCCCTCTCAGGCAGGTCAGTGCCAGTAACCGGCGTGCGCGCTGTAAGAGCTGCTTCCTCACGCTGCTGGGCTTCAGCGTGCCTCTGGCCCTGGCGGCGCTGCTGGTGCTGGGCGTCCTCTCCGAGGAGCTGCTGAAGGTGGCCCTGGGCCCCGAGGGCACCGAGACCCTCGCTCTCTACCTGGTGAGTGGTCAGGCTTCAGTGATACCTTGCACAGTCTACATGTAAAACAGTAAAGTCTGATTTGTAGCGGCTCTCGTGATCCACAGGCTCCGGCTGTGAAACTGTTCGAAACGCTGTCTGTGGAGCAGCAGCTGTACGGCGTGGGCGGGATGGTGCTGCTCTCCTTCCTCCTGCTCATCTTCGCACGCTACTTCTTCAGGTACCACAATAACGTCTGATAACAATGGGGCTGCAGTGTTTCCCACATAATTTGATTCTATTTGTGGGGGCACCGCACTGCACCCGAGGATCTGTGGGATTTATTCTCCCAAAATATATAATTTACAATTCAGGCATTTAGCAGACGCCTTATTCCAAAGCGATTTACAATGACCAATTACAGGGACATTCTCCCTGGAGTAACCGAGGGCTAAGTGCCTTGCTCAAGGGCACACTAGTAGTGATGTTCCAGGCAGGATGTGAACTCGCAACCTTCCTATCATCAGCCCCCCTCACTATCTATTAGACCACCAAAAAAAAAAAAAAAAAAATTATAATAATATATATATTGTTTTTATGAGATCCATTTGTGGCGGACGATATTTATTTGTGGCGGACGATATTTATTTGTGGCGGACGATATTTATTTGTGGCGGCCCGCCGCAAATAAATCAATATATGGGAAACACTGGACAATAAATATTGTTGTTTTTGTTCTTCCTTTCCTGACTAACTTAAATACACAATAATATAAAATGTAATTAGAAATACCTCATATCAAATTAAAAATCTGAATGTCAACATAAATTCATACAAACTCATAAGGACAAACAGCCTCAACGTAGCACAAACTCAACCCACCCTGAATGAAAGCCAGCACTCCTTTATTAATATACTCAATACTTTCCTATAAACCCTCATCCCTAACTCTTATTGTCACTCAGTCATATCATTGTACCATATTGTTCCAACATTGTCATACTATCGGTTTCTGCTACTATAGTAGCAGATTGTTCTTTATACTCATTGTTGTTTTCTAGTTAGCTTCAGATAGTGTGGTTCTTCAATGTTGTGTCATATCATTTGTCCACACCTCCATATATATAGTTAATGACTATATGTCTCCATTTTCTGTAGTAGTGCTGAAATCTATCATTGTTTCTTTCTCGTCCCTCATGTGTAGGGTCGTCACTGTAGTGTAGAAATCTTTTCGTTAATGTAGTAGTGTGGAAAATCTATGTCTCGTTACTGTAGTAGTGTGAAATCTATGTCTCGTTACTTGTAGTAGTGGTGAATCTATAGTCTCGTTACTTTACACCAGTAACACATATGAGTATGAACACCATGAGTGTGACACCATGAGTGTGACACACATGAGTATGACACACATTGAGCGTGACATACATGCGTATGACACACATGAGTAGTGACACACATGAGTGTGACCACACATGAGTATGACAACACATGTGTGTGACACCACATGGTATTACACACATGAGTATGACAACACATAGTATGACACCACATTGAGTGTGACACCACATGAGTATGACACACATGAGTGTGACACACATGAGTGTGCACAATGAGTATGACACACATGTAGTGTTACACCACATGAGTATGAACGTCATAAAGAACGACTGAGGGTCGTCTACCTCAAAGACGCAGCAGTACCATTGCGAGTAAAACACTTATTAATAAAGGGAGTGTCGGACTTGGACAAGTCCTTTCACTACTGGCAGTTGTGCCGTTGTTCGCACAGGTTCGTGTGGCGGCTCGTTGTGGAGGCTCAGATGTGTGTCCGTTCATGACGGTTTGACTTCATGAATTTCATGACGTTTGACTTCATGAATTTCATGACGTTTGACTTCATTGAGTCTCATTTTCGATGAATTCATTTTCATATATTAATATTTTTTATTTCAGGTCTGAGTGCAAGGTGACGCTCTTAGGGTCTCAAGTCGGTTGTTACTGCCGTTGTTCACGTCTACACACCTGACGATAGGACTCTCCCTCTTGTTTGGCCACTCTCTCTCTGTCCGCTTCCTCGCCGCCTCTCTCTTCTGTCCACTCTCCCTCGCCTCTGTCCAGACTGTCCCTCTTGTCCACTCTCTCTCTTAATGGTAGTATTTCAAAACAACTTAAACATAAACTGTCTGTCTTCTGTCCGTCTGTCTGTTCTTTCTATCTGTCCGTCCGTCTGTCTGTCCTATGTCTGGTCCGTCCCTCTGTCTGTCTGTCTGTCTGTCTGTCTGTCTGTCTGCTGTCTGTCTGTCTGTCTGTCTATGTGGTCTGCCGTCCGTCTGTCTGTCTGTCTGTCTGTCTGTCTGTCTGTCTGTCTAGTCTGTCGTGTCCTGTCTGGTCCATGGACGTCTACACCACACCACAACGAGACAGACATAGAGGACCTCTTACTCGCTCCTGAGGCAGAGAAAGAACTCAGAGAGGTTAGGTCTCGCTTCTCCCGAGTCCTGTCGGGACTTGTGGTTTCGACAATAATTGTTGTCGGGACCTTGTGGTGTGCGGAAATATTGTTGTCGGACTTTGTGTTTCGAAATAATTCGGTTGTCGGTCTTGTTTATGTATGGTTATTGAGTCGGATAGGACTCGCGGGACCAGCTACCAGACCTGAGGCGACTTCAGCTTCAACGAGTCCATAGGAGCCGGTGGTAGACCGATTTCAGCAATGACGCCTTTGTTGTTGTGCCACTCTCTCACTCTCGGTTAGTCTCGTGGTCCTGGTGGACGACTCACACACTCCTAGTGGGACTGAAGAACGGGTCCACCAGCTCGGTGCAGCCTGAAGGACTTGGGCAGGTCCACTTCTCCGCGAACCGCTCCGCAAACGCGACGTTCAGACGGAAGCACGGCAACTCGTACGCGGAGTAGCGGTGGCTCGCGGTCTGCGAGGCGATGCAGCGGACTCCCATGCCGTCGAGCCCCCGCCAAGTGGCTCCTGCGAGGGACTGGTGTGTGTGTGTGTGGTGTGTGTGTGTGTGTGTGGTGTGTTGTGTGTGTGGTGGTGTGTGTGTGTGTGTGTGTGTGTGTGTGTGTGGGTGTGTGTGTGTGTGTGTGTGTGGTGTGGTGTGTGTGTGGGTGTGTGGTGTGTGTGTGGTGTTGTGTGTGTGTGTGTGTGTGTGTGTGTGTGGTGGTGTGTGTGTGTCAGTCCTTGGAAAGTCCAGGACAAAGACTACTTGGGTGTCATTGAGGGATTGAAGGACAAGGGTCTGAGGATTTGGTTCCACAGGTTTCTGAGTTTATAGACCTGAAACGGGCTCCCGGAACTCAAACTGTACATACTAGATTTCGTCCCCATAAGTGATTTTACGTCGCTCCAGGTCAACTTTCTTAGGGGGGTACGGTTTCCAGGTCTTGTAGTTGGACAGATTCAACGAGTACTCAGTCACACTACATAACTTCGTCGACATTGAAATAGTTGCAGACGTACAGTAAGTTGTGCTGA